TTTAAAAATAAGGGACCAAAATTAACATTAATTATCCTCGCCAATTGGACAACATATCACCAACTTTTTAGCACTTCTCGCCGTCTCTCTCCTTAAGTTTCGCTCTCTCTCTATCTCTGGCTGGACCATCTTCATCTTCATCTTCATCTTCATCTTCATCTCCGCCGGCGCTCAAAGCCCTAAAATTAAAAACCCCCCGACCACCTGACCCGTGCACTCTTCCGCTGATTATTTAATCCAATTTCCAGTTTATTCCCAGTTTTACCCCAAACCCTTCTCCTTCTCCCCTCCCTTTTCCCGCGTCAAATTTCCCAATCCTGTGCTCAAATCCAGCCAGGTTCATACTTCAGAGTCGCTGCGTCATTCCCTGAATTTGATTGGCGAAAAGCTACGTAAGTTGCTTTTTTTCATTTTTTTAATCGCTTAGGCGTGACGATAAATAACGTAGTTGAGCTGAAGCATTCCCCTTTCCCGCTCCCTCTGAAAAAGTCTAGTCATTTCTGAAAGATATCTCTATTTCTTTCGCTTTTCTTTCAGTTCTTTACTCTTTCTCAGCATCCAAACAGCAAATTTTATCAGATACTGAGTTCAGAGAGGTTTATTTTCTTCTTTTATTAAAGTGTGGCTCATACTTGGCTGCTTTGATTGATTTGGCAGGGGAGTTGCAATTTTGATTTGAAATCAAGACGGAGTTTTCACCAGATTATATCTCTGTAAGTTCATACTTGATTTTCTCATGCTCTAATTTTTAAAGAATCAAACTTTTTTTATTCTAAGTTTGTATTTTGTTGCTATATTATAGTTGAATCTTAATTGGTTGATTAGTTTAGTCATACGGAAATCATTGTAGCAGATGCACTTTTGCACTAGAAGCTTGTACTCTAGTTTGTTTCCCCGAGTTTGCAATTTTTTTGAGGTCTGGTTTTGTTATTGTTTTTAAGTGTGGCTAATTTAACAAAATGTTAAATGCTGCCGGTTCTAGTTTCAATTCATTCATCCCAGAACCTTTTCTTTAATGTAACCATAACCACATGGTGGTCCCTTCACAGTGTACATTCCTATCATGTTGTTTTTTCTGTGAAACAGGATGATTAACCATCATGATGTTGTGATGGTGTCTAGTCTGCTCGCATAATCTTCCTTCTCCAAAACTAACTTTGGGTTAAGTTACTCTAAGTAAATGGACCGCTCTGACACTCAAGGATTTGTTAGTGGAGGTGGGATTTACTCCCTCATCAAGTTATAGCTCTAGTTTTGTGGCTAAGTTTCTTCATCCCAGAAGTTAGGTGTGCTGTTTTGTTGCAATTGAGATTTGGTCCACATATTAATATTAGTGTTTTAGTTCATCTATTGATACATGGAGGCAAGGTTCCCAAATGAAGGTTGTAATGCTAATTATTTGGTGAATGCATTGAAGATTTGGCCCAATTTAATGCAAGTTGGAGGTACGGGGGATGGATATGGCATGGATACCAACTTGTGTCTTGACTCCCCTGGTTCTTCAATCCCTTGCATGTCCTCAAAGGGAATCAAACGTAAGCGGAGTTTGATGGAGGGATCCTTGGGTGATCAAGTTGGCTCCTCATTGTCTCTTGGGTTAGGCCACTCTTCAAGTTCCTCAGACAGCAAAGTGAGCTCCACAACTGCTTGTACGCCAATGTCTTCAGCCAAAGAAACTGACGAGGAATCTGATATTGAAGTGGACTTCACTCTCCATCTTGGCAACGAGAAGGCACTGAACTCCAAGAAATGTGGCAATTCAAATATGAAAGGGCTGGGACTGCAACCGAAGGTTGATCTGGAATTAAGTCTCACTACTGGGCCCTCTGAGTCTGTTATAACCGGTGTCCATCGGAGCAACTCTCCTCTACAAACAGGAATGGAGAATCTAATAGCAACTGGTGGGATCCAAAATGCAGATGAAGGATCAACATCCCTTTGCTGGAAACCAGGGATCACATTCCCACCGTTGCAGGTTTCACCAGCCAATGAGGCTAGTATCTTCTTCAAGGAGATTGCAAGAACTAAAGATCTACCTCCTGGTGTTCCACACCTGTCTTCAAGTGTGATAACAACACCGAAAAGTTCTGTCACTGGTACTTTTGGGAGAACAAGACAGCAACAGCCACAACACCACAACTCTAGTACCAAGCCATGTCAGGTTGAAGGATGTGGAAGGGGGGCCAGAGGAGCTTCTGGCCGTTGTATCTCTCATGGTGGTGGTAGAAGGTGCCAGAAACCTGGCTGCCAGAAGGGGGCAGAGGGCCGGACTGTGTATTGCAAGGCCCATGGTGGTGGTCGGAGATGTGAATTCCTTGGCTGCACAAAGAGTGCAGAAGGTCGGACTGATTACTGCATTGGTCATGGTGGTGGGCGGAGATGTAGTCATGAGGGTTGCACTCGAGCTGCCAGAGGGAAGTCTGGGCTGTGCATCCGTCATGGTGGTGGGAAGAGATGCCAGAAAGAAAATTGCACGAGGAGTGCAGAAGGCCTCTCAGGATTTTGCATCTCTCATGGAGGCGGTCGTCGATGCCAATTTATGGGATGCACAAAGGGGGCACAAGGAAGCACAATGTTCTGCAAAGCACATGGAGGTGGGAAACGATGCACATACCAAGGTTGCACCAAAGGTGCTGAAGGGAGCACACCATTCTGTAAGGGCCATGGAGGGGGGAAAAGGTGTGCATTCCAAGGTGGTGGGGTTTGTACAAAAAGTGTGCATGGAGGAACCAACTTTTGCGTGGCACATGGGGGCGGAAAGAGGTGTGCTTATCCCCAGTGCACAAAGAGTGCTAGGGGACGAACTGATTACTGTGTCCGTCATGGTGGGGGAAAGAGATGCAAGTTTGAAGGGTGCAACAAGAGTGCACAAGGCAGCACAGATTTTTGCAAGGCACACGGTGGTGGGAAGAGATGTTCTTGGGGCCATCCTGGGTCACAATATGGCAACCATCCTAATGGTCCTTGCAACTCTTTTGCAAGGGGCAAGGCAGGTCTATGTGCACTCCACAATGGCCTGGTGCATGATAAGAGGGTTCATGGGGGTATAACCTTGGGACCTATGGTCCAAGATCCTAAACCTAATAAGCTTGAGAAGATGAAAGAGGTTGTCACTGCTGAGGACATGAGTGTTGAAATCATGAAAATGGGCACAGAGGCTCCAGCAGGCCAAACTTGGGCTCATTGGGAACAATATGCAGTGCCAAATGCCAATGTTGCAGTGCCAAATGCCAATGTTGCAGTTGCAGAGGGATGTGTCCCAGTTATTGTTCCAGAAGGTAGGGTTCATGGTGGAAGTTTGTTGGCAATGCTAGCAAGCAGTTCTGGTATTGGTTCAAGCAACAGCAAGGGTGTAGCCAGTGAGCCATCAGAGCCAAGTTCATCTTTCAGGATGCCCAGGAGCTGGATCTAAAGTCTGTTTTGCTGCTCTGTTTGCAATCGGACTTTGAAAGAAGAATGTTTGCTGTTCTCGCTTGTGTCCTTTTGCTTTAAGTAGTCTTAGTGCTGGAAACTCTTTGTTCTCATCATGTTTAAATGGTGAGAACATTAAGTTCTTTAATTCCTCCGTGTGACAATTCTAATATCAAATTGGATGTAGTTAGCATTGAGTCCTGTCATTGTTTTCCTTCCTGTAAATATTTATAGATGTCCAGCAAGTTGTTGTGAATCAGGTTAGTCCCTGTATGGTCAGTCAGTTTGTTGAACATAATGGTCACAATAAAGCCCTTCTTGATATTATATTTACTATCTTTCTATGTATTTTGAATTTTTTTTTTCTTTGCCCAAGTTTCTACATTGATGACGTGATAGGGAGAAGCATACTCTCCGCTTTTAAAAGGACAATAAAAGTAGATCAAAATTTTATTTTGTATGCAAGACATCTTCCAGATTTCCCCTTTACATACTCCCCCCTTTTAATAGTATCTTTTGTAAGACATGTAGGATATTACAATATTGAGTTCTGTATGTTGCAGACTCTTTCCCTATAGTCCCTCATCTTTAAACTTAGCCATCATTGAGAGATCATTAACAGCGTCAACCAGGTGATCAAGTCTAGCCACGAACTCAATCAGCAATGAAGTGAAGGTGGCAAGTGACAATGCTGCAGTGGTCTCCAATGTTCTCATCGGCAAAAAGGCTGCTCCAATTCCTCCCTCGTCTTCAAAAGCATCCACCTCTCTGGACGGCCAAGAATGCATCCTTCTCGATTGCTTCCTCATCATCTCATGGGACGACTCTCCCTGTGTTCGTGAGAGATCACCTGTTTGCATACTCAGGTTCTTTTCAAGGCTATTGCTGTCAAAATCCGCAATGTCATTGAGCTTTGTTGACGGAGTCTCAGAAAGCTTGACTGGATTGGAAGAATTGTCAAGAGGTTCAGAATAGGAGGTAAGGAGATTAGAATGCATGTCTATGGCACGCTGCAGTCTTACAATTGAGCTGTGAACCCTCTTTAGCAAGGATGTCGTGACGCTTCTCTTCATGTTGCTTATGTCTTTCCCCAATCTCCTCACCAGCTCTGCAGCCTGGCTTGTTGCATCAAGGATCTCTGTCTGGAATGCGATTCGGAGATTATATGGTGCCTGAAAATCAAACAAAATAATTCCCATGAGTTGACACACCGTTGAAGCATCCGACTCGGCCTTGGAATAAATCCAATGTCTCTTTCTTAGTCAATTTCATATGAAGTAAGGTCATAGGAATCTCTTCTACGCGTATTGTTTTTGAGCCAACTTTGCCACTGACATTAGGTGGAGAATAAAGAATGAGTGAAGATTGAAATGCCATTTACGCGGAATGCACACCAAATGATGCAAAAACACACTGGCCGCTGGCGTTATTAGATTTTGATTCTTCCTCACTTTTTCAGTATTCCCTTTCTAGTGGAACTTTTCTGATATATTTCTTGGCTGCTAGCATTTCTATATGTATATTTACTGTGAAAAAGAGTTCTGATTCTGTTAAATTGAATATGAAATATGAATATCCCAATTGTATTTGGTGTTGAAATTTCTCATTCAAAATTTTTAGAGGGAGTACCTGAATCTCAGAGTGTAGAACTCCATGGAGGGCCATAACCTCATAAGCACAGTAGCGTAGGACTGCTCCTACTTTAACATACTCTGACCATGGATAAAAGAAGTGCCTGAACCTTCCATGTGGTGGCTCCCATTTTGCCGAATTAGCCTTGCATATTGAAACAAATAATTGGTATAACAATCAGGCACTCTGGTACTCACTTTGTGATGTAAACAAGTTGAAGAAGGGAGGAGGAATAATGAAGTTTATATGATGAACTAGGTAGTCACCAGGTTCTCCAGTTTGGCTGAAGAGTTCAACGTGGCTCGGCATTTCCTGTAGGCAGGCTCATCTTGAAACTCATCCATGACAGTCTTGGAGAATTCTGGATGATCTAATCCTTCATCTTCTAAATATTTCTTCACACATTCTGAAAATTTCACAATCAATCTTTTGATATTCTTTTCAATTCTATATAAATCTTAGAAGTTTCCTCTGGATGATCCATTCATAGAAGAGACATATACTCAGATTGGCTTACCTTCAAGGGTGTCTGCTACTGAGTTAAAATTGTTGACTAACTCTCTATGCAATTGTTCTCCGGCCCATATAGGAAAAACAAGTACATTCACAAAGACTGCTACAAAACCTCCAATGGCAATAGAATACAGTCTATCCATGGCAGTTTTAACAGGGTTCCCCATTCGATATCCAGAAACAATGATCAAACAGAAAGTGAAGAGTATGACCCGGAAACCATATTCGTATGGCACAAAAGAAGGCCATAGTTTCATGAATGATGTTAAAGCTCCTACATAAATGTTGAGCAAATATTCCTGGTTAGCATAGGATATAAAGGGAGCGTTTGAGGTTGCGATTAAGAGCTTTTTCGTCTAGCAACACATTATTTTTAAATATATATATATTTGGTAATTTTTTTTTAAATTACTTTTTTAAAAGCCATAAAAAATCCATAATAAATTTTACAGTAATTTTATGAATAAAGTCAAAAATCTCATTTTGAAACTTTTTTACTGTAGTTTTTACGGAGAATATTTAATATTTAATATAATTACAAAATTACTCATTAAAACTTAATTTTATATAGTTTAATTACATCATATTTTATAATACTTTAATAATTAATAATAATAAATATTATATATTTTAATAATTATATATCTTATAATATTTTTAAAATTTTAATTAATAATTAATAAAATCTATCATATTTTATATATAATACTTTTAAAAAATAAATATTCAAACACCAAAAATAATTTTTACCTATAATTATAACATAATATAATCACAATTACAACCGCAGCACTTCACAACAATTCCAAACGCGCATCTAAATTTTCAGTTTTTCTTGACTCGTAGCTTATTCTAAGAAAAAGAAGAAGAGCTGTTTCATTTAATTTAGACTGCCTTGAACTATAAAGTATTACCAATCAGGAATATGCTAATTCCTATTATAAAAGGTTCAGCAACCCGGCCAGCATGCAGAGCCAACTGACCAACAGCAATAGCTAAGATCCCTGCAAGCAAGCTCCCAAGTGCTCGGTTGAATCCTCGATTAAATGTTGCACCTGAAGAAATTCACAGATATTACATAGGTCAGTATTTGATCTATCCTAAAGGTGATTATGTTTACAATATATTCATCAAAAGATATCTGAGGTAGAAACGAACACATGTTTCCCTGAAAAAAAAAAACTGGAAGACCATTGAGTTTACTGAAATAAATGTATGCATGTACATACCGACTGTGTATTCAAACATGATGGCAACAGTAAGGATGGACCAAATGATGTTGGTGCCAAAAGTTTCATAAGGTGCTCGGAGAAGTATGAGCAAAGACACAAGAAGAACAGCTAGCCCAACTTTGAATGAGAATGTCAACCTTTTGCTATCTTCCTTGCAAAATTCCCAAACCTTCCATATCCAATTAGCACATGAGAAACCTTCAAAGACAGATTTCTTCTCAGTCTCAAGATGTTTAGCCTTGGAAGAAGGTGGAATGTTGATCTCAACAGCTTCCTTTTTCCCATTCATTCTCCAGTGAATTAATACAAGTCCTTCCAACCCTGTTAACTCCCGTTGCTTCACGTTTCCCGTATTGTCAACAGTTAAATCAAAAAATTTTTTGGTTGATTTTCCAGGGAAACAATTAAAGGGCAATGATTTTGGCAGGCAAACAAGCTGGACAGAACCAGGTTAGAGGAGATGAATTGAATAGTATGAGTTAAGTTTGGAGGTGGGCTGTGTATTAGAATTGGACTGAAGGGAGTACATATAAAGAAGAGGGGAGGAGCTAAGTTGCAGGTGCAACTAGCATAAAGAAAGTATGTGTAGTCAGGATTTGATATGTAGGCAGAATAATACTACAATAATAGAAGGAAAGATGGAGCTACAAAACCTGAGGATAAAGATGCTTAAAACAATGTTACATGGACGGAGAATTAGAATCTAAAATTTCCATGGCACTTCAGTTTCTTTCACTGCATTCATTGTGGAAAAATATATATCTCCTTTTGATTTCTTCATGAGAAAAATTTAAGGTATTATGTGGGAGAGATAGAAACAAACCGCTGTAGTGTATTTCCATGAAACTTTGAAAATAAATAGCAATGCTGATATAATTTTTTCTGGAAAAATAAGTATATTAGAACATGAAGCTGAGTGCAGAGAATTATGCCTTGACTAAGACTGCTTCTCCTCAACTGAAGTGTTGCTTTTATCTATGGACTGTGGAGAGAAGCACAAGTTGTTCATACAGTAACATGAGGAATTCTCTAGCTTCTCCATCTTCAACATGTTCTGGGGAAAAGCACCTATTCTTTCTTCCATTTTTTTTTTCTCTAAGCATGAATTCTAAGGCAAGTAACATATTTTTTTTCAATATACTTTATTATTATCTGATTTTATTCCTTAAATAGATAAAAAGAACTTATGCATTATTCTCTTTCTAGCTAAATTTAATCTATCTTTGTGGTGTGTTTTGGTTCATCCAAATTCTGGAACAAATGATAATAATCGAGGCTTTCTGATCAGCATAATGCTGCTACTTAAAGATGACATTATCATGAAGGGTAATGAACATGTTTTATTCTCAAGAAACAAATTGAGGAAGGTATTAGCTGAGAAAATTGTGGTATGTATATGTAAAGGAATATATTCAAGCTATAAGTGATGCGCAAGCTCATGAGATTTTGGTGAAAATGAAGTGTGTTTTATTCTCAAAGGGAAAAATGCAAATGGTAGCCATGGAAAAAAAAAAAAGGATAACTTTTGACAAACATAATGGAAATTTGTAGATGTAATTAACTTATTCAGCAATTAGAATTTAATCAACGCGACAATACTTTTGGTGATCTTTCCTTTAAAAGAAGAAAGCTGATAAGATGGTTCTGGTTTAGATGACATTAGGTTCTGATTCTGGTACCAGGATGCAGCAGCTGCCACCATGAAATTGGGGGTTCCATTCCAGCCATTATATTCCATAAGATTTACCTTGATCAGATCATGTTTGGACCAAGGGAAATGGAGGGGCGGGGAGTGCAATCAAATTAAGATCTCTTCCCTCCATTTGCCTCGATCCAAACATGCTCTAAAGGATAGCTTGCGTGAAAGTGATCACTTTGGCGAGAGAGGTTGTCCAGAAAATTACATAAGAGAGATACTATACAATTCCACATCTGGTATCTATATATATTTGTATTGGGATAATAATCTAACTAATCCATAAGCGTAATAAAGGCTCATGAGTACCAAATGTAAAAGAGCACATGCATGAGTCATTATAGAGCTCATATATACTTAAATGGATCCAAAAAAACTAATAAAAGTGCAACATGTGAAAAGCACTTCTAAGAAGTTTATAAACACCCCACACTTCTTAAAGGAAAGGGCTTTTCCTGAAGCTATCTTTTCTCTATTATACTTCTCTCTAAAGAAAACCTTACGTATAGAATATTATTAATTTGGACGTCGAAGTATCTACCGGGACAACCCTTGGATCTGTTTTGTAAGTCCCCACGGTGGTTAAGTCGTGGTAAACAAGGGCTTTTAAAGCTGCCCAGACAATTTGGAATTTTGGATTTCCTTCCTGAAATGGTATTCAAATAAGATGGTATATTATTTCCCCCAAAGTTAACTTGTTCTCAAGGATTCTTGGTAGAAATCCCAGTTTGTTACACTAGACTAATGCTACCAAACGCCATATTATGGGGAAGAGGCATACAAATTATAGATTTCCTTTCCACAATTGAGTTGGAATCCTACTAGGAAAATTATTCTTTTACCTACAGAATTTGTTCCTCACAATCTCCCTGGACACAATATTTTTAGCACACTTGATGATGAGGTATACCAATGATATCGCATGTTCTAAAATTCGAATATGAAAATCTTGAGTTAAAGGGAACAGAAAAATCCACAACTTAAAAAAAAAAAAAAAAATTCTGAAACGAATCAAAACCACAATTGATGAGTTAGGTTTAACTAAACACTGAACCAAACAAATCCAAGAAATTGTTGAACTTTCGGTTGTTAGATTTGAAAACTTAAAACTAATAACTTAGGTGAGTATAATTAAAAAATACAACCCAAATACTTTTTATTTAAAATTTTTAGTAGTTTATAGATTTGTTTTAGATTTTCTCACCATTTACTATCAAATTATTTATTTACCTGAGTGAATTTTAGTTTTTTTAATAATTGAAATTAATAAAATAATTAATAATTTTCTAAAAAAATACTCGTAAAAAATATAATTTTTTTTAATTAAAACGAAAATCGATCTAAATAATTATTCTCAAAAAATAACTAAAACCAATAAAACTTACCTTTTCAGTTTGGTTATTAATTTTAAAAATTAATGACTAAAAATTTAATTAACCAATAATTTAATTTTAATTATAAATAAAACCAAACCATCTCTACCATTATTCCAAATTCAAATTCTTAATCATTGAAATCTCAAAATAAACATTCTTTTACATAATAAAAATAATGATATATCTTTTTTCTTTTTTGGAACTAAAAATGATATATCTTTTAAATACTTCTTAAGCTAGCAAAACAAATGTATTTTTCCATCAGACGGTGATATATAGAGTTAGACTGTTCCTGGTATAAACCGAGCGCGGTTAATATTTCATTTTAAATATTTAATATAATTTTTTATTATAAAAAATTATATTTTTACTTTTTAATTAATCAAAAATATAATAATTGATTAAAATAAAAATATAATATTATTAATTAAGGATGCAGCAAACATACTGTCATATGAACTCTCCTAACTATGGTTTATAGGTTTATAGTTTGAGTAAAAGAAATTTTATTTTTTTAAATAAGAATTTGAGTTTAAATTTTGTAAATAAAAAAATAATCATTAAAATTTTTTTTTATAAGACTCAATGTAATTTTTTTTATGAGGTTTAACTTAATTTAATTTTTTATTAATTAAAATTTAATGTAATTACGAAATAATAACTGTTATTAAGGAAAATAAACCAACTCATTTTCAGCTCAGGTTTGTACGGAAGCATTCCTTTTTAAACCTACCAACTACCATAGTTATTTTCATCTTATCCCTTCGGAGATAAGAAAATAATAATAATGAACAACTGTTTAGATTAATTAAATAATTTAGTGATAATTTTTTTTTTGTTAAAAATAAAAAATATTAATTTTGAGTGAGATAATATACGAATAGATGAAATTAAAAATAAAAAAGATTACTTGTGATTATGCAATCAACATTAAAAAAAATAATTGTATAAAAAAATTAAAAAATAATAATAATAATAAAGTTAAAATTTTATTTTGGTTCTTAAACTATTATATGGATCTATAATTTGGTCCTTAAACTTAAAAAATTTTTGATTTGATCCCTACTGTTTACCATTTTAACCCCAATTTAAGCTTTCCATTAAATATCTATCGTTAACTCATAGTAAATTAATGACACGGCAAAAATTTGAGACGCATTAGATAAAAATGATGACATGGCAACATGACAGGTTATATTTTTGCCATGTAACCCACTAAAATTACAATTTTACCCTCATCTTCTTCCTCCAACATCCTCTTTCTCAAATTTTCTTCATTCATCCTTCTTTCCCTCTCTTTGCCTCCTTCAAGATAACTTTCATCACCATTTTTCTAAATCAAACAATTAATTCTTCATCAATCAATTCTTCTTCTTCATCAAACAATAAAACCCACGAAAAAAACAAACAACAAAACCCATGAAAAAAAATAGAAATTTTTTTCCAACCCAACACTTGGGTTCGTTCCCAGTTCTTCATTCATCCTTCTTTTTCCCTCTCTTTGCCTCCTTCAAAATAACTTTCAGCACCATTTTTTCTGAATCAAACAATTAATTCTTCATTTATCAATTCTTCTTCTTCGCCAAATAACAAAACCCACGAAAAAAACAAACAACAAAACCCACAAAAAAATTTTTTGGGGGGGTTCAAACGAACCCAACAACTGGGTCCAAGGAATCCAACACCTGGGTTCGAGTGAACCCACGCTTGGTTCTGAGGAACCCAGCAACGGTTGCTGGGTTTGATGGGTTCTAAGGGAGGAAGGGTATAAAGAAAGGGAAAGAGAAGGAAAAGGAAAAAAAAAAATTTTTTTAAGTTTTTTTTTTTTCATATTATTATTATTTTTATATTATTATTATTTTTGCCATGTGTATTAATTTTTGCCACGTGTATTAATTTTTGCCATATCATCCTGTAACAGTGAATTAACAACACAGTTAATGAGATTTTTAACAGAATGACTAAATTGGGGTTAAAATGGTAAATAGTAAAGACCAAATCAGGAAATTTTTAAGTTTAGGGACCAAATCAGGGGTCCATATAATAGTTTAGGGATCAAATTGGGGTTTTAACCTAATAATAACGAAGAATCGCACAAAGACGTCCCGAATCTCGCCCACGACTGAAATTGACCAAAAATGGGCAACTGCAATGGTCTCCCCTCGACTCTCTCGCAGCTCCGTAACGATTCCGATTCTTCCAATGCCGTCAACAACAACGTCCACGTCAAGCCCGCCCCGTCTCCACCTCCCTCCACTCGCCCCCACCCCTCTGCGGATAATCATCCCGGCGGAACTGCTAGCGCAGTTGGCCGTGTTCTAGGTCGCCCTATGGAAGATGTCCGTTCCACCTACACCTTCGGTCGTGAGCTCGGCCGTGGCCAGTTCGGCGTTACTTACTTGGTTACCCACAAAGAAACGAGAGGGCAATTTGCTTGCAAATCCATCGCCACGCGCAAACTCATCAACCGCGATGACATCGAGGATGTACGCCGCGAGGTCCAGATCATGCACCACCTCACCGGCCACAGGTACCCATAAGGCAAAATCTCTTAGATTTTTATTGATTCTTTTGGGATTTCCATGTATTCCGAACTTAATTGAAGAATTTGAGATGGCAGAAACATAGTGGAGTTGAAGGGGGCGTATGAGGATAGGCATTCTGTGAATTTAGTGATGGAGTTGTGTGCCGGAGGAGAGCTGTTCGATCGGATCATTGCCAAAGGACATTACTCTGAGAGAGAGGCTGCGAGGTTGTTTAGGCAGATCGTGACGGTGGTGCACAATTGTCATACAATGGGCGTAATACACAGGGATTTGAAGCCTGAGAATTTCCTGTTCTTGAGTAAGGATGAAAATTCGCCACTAAAGGCTACAGATTTCGGACTCTCGGTGTTTTTCAAGCCAGGTGATCATTGTCATATCTTTTAGGTGAACTTGTTTGGGACGATCTGCTTACTTTACCATGTAAAGAGAAAAGGGAAGATAAAAATTGTAATTTTGGATAAGAGGTTGTACAATTTTTGTTGTTATCTCCGGTTCATGATTTTTTAGATTATTGCTATTGGAATGAGAGTGAATAATGGGTTTGATATTAGTTGATTTACATGTTGATGATGGTATTCAGACTAAGGATTTCTCGCATAGCATGCAAATTAAGGGCATTGGCTCCACTTTTACATATCATGCTAAATAATGGAGAATAATAATATATGCTTGGAAGAGAACCGGAAAAAGTGGATTGTAGTGGACGATGGCATTTTAGGTATACTCTGATCTAATGATCTGAAATAAGGAAAGAGTTCTTTGTATTGTTTTTTAATGTAGCTAGCTTGTCTGATTGAGAACAACATTTATGGAAACATCAAATTCTTTGGATAAGAGGCTGTTTCAAACCCTAATAGATGTTCATAATGGTAAATTGTCCAGCTTTATCTACCATTTACCACTGCGATAGATAAGGTCTATGCCAAAAAACTTACATGCTTTCCTTGTCAACTTTGTTTGTGAAAATGGATTTGAATTATTCCCTTTTTGTGCTAGCGCAGGGGATGTGTTCAAAGATCTGGTTGGAAGTGCTTTCTATGTAGCTCCTGAAGTATTGCGACGGCGTTATGGAGCTGAAGCTGATGTTTGGAGTGCTGGGGTGATCCTTTACATTCTCCTTAGTGGGGTCCCACCTTTCTGGGGAGGTATTGCTACCATGTCTGATAATGATTTAGAAATCCATTGAAATAATATTGATGGCCTCATTTCAAAAAAGTTGGGAAATCTTTAAAATTCTAAATTTAGTTATATTAACTTCTGCTTAGACATATAATTAAAGCTAATTAATGCTTAGTGACACAACTGTCTTCTCAAATGCAGAAAATGAACAGGGTATCTTTGATGCTATTCTTCGGGGGCACCTTGATTTCTCATCCAATCCATGGCCTTCCATTTCCAGTAGTGCTAAGGATCTTGTGAAGAAGATGCTACAAGCAGATCCAAAAGAGCGGTTTTCGGCAGTTGAAGCCTTAAGTGAGTTTCTTTTCTCTGAAAGACCTTGGAGGCATGTTGTAGCAGACTGATTTCTATTGTGTTCTCTTGTAATGCCTCTTATCATTCTGTAAATTAGAGATTAAGCTCAGCTAATGAACATGTAATGCAGATCATCCATGGATGCGAGAAGATGGTGATGCATCTGATAAGCCTCTTGATATTGCTGTCTTGACTAGAATGAAACAATTCAGGGCAATGAACAAGCTGAAAAAAGTTGCTCTAAAGGTGAATATGTATTTTCTTTTATTGATGTGGACAAATGTAAACTGCAAAATCTGTTTAGCATTTGATAGAAAATTCCAAGTTTCATTGATATGAAGTATGAAAGAGAATAAAAAATAGGTGTTCTGACTTAAATTTCCCAAAAGAAGAAAAAAAAAGGAGGGACATGGAAAGCATTAAAAGATCTATCCTCAAGCATTTGATGCGCTCAAGTAGCAGATCCTCCTATTTTGCTGGAAAAATTGCCTCCTCTTCTGTCCATATTGTGATGGTTGATGATGTTGTGACATGGCCATGACCCACCATTATTGAGTTGGATTTTAATTTCTCTCTCCTTTCAGGTAATTGCAGAAAACCTTTCTGAGGAAGAAATAATGGGCTTGAAGGAAATGTTCAAATCCATGGATACAGATGGCAGTGGAACAATTACCTATGAGGAATTAAAGGCTGGCCTTCCTAAACTTGGTACCAAACTTTCTGAATCTGAAGTAAGGCAGTTAATGGAAGCGGTAACCTCTCTTTCTTTTCTATATTTCATCCTTCCTTATATCTTTAAGATAATTTAATTTAATTATAATGATGCACAGAGAGTATTTTGATAGAACACGATTCTTTTCTTTATAGAACCTTATTATTGATTGGTGTCAAGTCTAAGGTGTTGCAAAAGCTCAAGCTTTATCCCTTCCTTTTTCAATTTAAAATGACAGGAACTAGATTGCACAAAAAATATCTCATGCCTTGATGATTTTATTCATGGTTGAGCTGAAATAGTGAACATGGTTGCCATTTTCAGGCTGATGTTGATGGAAATGGAACAATCGATTATATTGAGTTTATAACAGCCACTATGCACATGAATAGAATGGAAAGAGAGGACCATTTGTATACTGCTTTCCAATACTTTGACAAGGACAATAGCGGGTAATCAGTCTTACCTTTCATCTCATGTGTATAACATTTTTGTTCACTGCTTTGTGCAAATATTCGTTTTGTTTGTTCCTGATTCTCAAGTATTTTCTTCCTTCATTTAGGTATATTACAAGGGAAGAACTGGAGCATGGTCTTAAGGAGTATAACATGGGCGATGAGAAAACAATAAAAGAGATCATTGCGGAAGTTGACACTGACAAAGTATGTTTCTTCTCCTTCATAGACAGAGTGCTCTTATTCTGTTTTATTTCTCTACTTGAAGCTGCCATTTGGTGTTTTATGTGTCATCTTGTCCTTGATATGGTGATGAAAATTAACAAGTGGATGCATGCTTGATTGCCTGTCAAAAGTCCTTCTTGGAATCAAGAATACTCTCTATTAGAGAATAGGGATCAAGCATATTCTTTAAATTATGGACAAATATGTGGAAGCTGAAAATGAATGCAATCAACTCCATGAAGGACATTCCTTATTCTCTTGAGAAGACAAGTGGTACAGAAAGAACTCAGGATATCGATATTAATTAGAAGCAAAGAACCTACTATTGCATGTTATGGCGTGTTTGTGTGTACTGAAGTTTTCTTGGCAGTTAAACAAAAAGTACATATTACTTTTCAAAAAAGTTTTACTATTCATTTCCATGTTTTGTTGTTATTACCTGTATTCATGCAATTTTTTGCCATCTGCCTTTTGCAGGATGGTAAAATCAACTACGAGGAATTTGTGGCTATGATGAGAAAAGGCAACCCAGAACTTGTTCCTAACAGAAGACGCAAATAATCTGCATACGACTTGCAGGTCTTCTGGCTTAACATCACCGGTTGACTAGTTTGTTGATTGTAGAGGAAATGCTTTTGCTGCTTGGAATCTGAGGCTAGACCTTGCACGCTTTAAACTGCCACTGGCTTTCATTCGTTACAGAAATGACCTTAGATTGCCCTCAAACTTCATTAGAGCTTTTAATTCTGTGCTGGTTAGGCAGATTTACTTGGTCAAATGCGAGAACAAAGTTAGAACTACAATACGTGTTCCTCCCAAGTTTGTTTCCTGGATGATCTCTATTTTAGATTTGCTTGTATGTTTTTGGAAGCTGTTTCTGCTACCAAAGGAAATGTTACTGCCACGAAAAAATCTAGCTTCCCTTCTTTAACAGACATGAAAACAGCTATGAAATCTATACTTACATAATCTCATTCTCCTCAAATCCCCTCATCTCCAAAAAAAAAAAAAAACCGTTTCTTTTTACACCCCCAAATGCAAAATTTAAAGCAGACAAAAAGCTCAACAAACAAGGGCAAACCCAAAACAGAGAAGAACTCATAGGAGCCTAGAGTTCCTAAAAGGACGACAAGAAAGTGAATGCAAGACTGTTGAAATAAAGCGAATATTCCAATTAAGAAGAGTAAACACAGGAGAGGTGAAAAAGAACTCAAGGTGCCAAAAATAATGATAATTATTATAATTGAAATACGAACAACCTGTTTGAGTACTGTAAGGGATTTCGATTTTTTTTAAGTAAATAAGATAGTTTTGTAAATAGAAAAATAAGTGTTTGGAAGAATTTTTTCTTAATAAATTTGATGCGATTTAATTTTAAATTAATCGAAACCTAACGTAGTTACTAAATATTGAGAGCTTAATACTAAAAATAATTATAAGTGAAATAAAACGAAAATATTTCAATTAAACAATTATTTTTTAACAAGGGGAAGTGTAGGGTGGTAGAAAATATATAAAGGTGAAAATTAAGAGTGTCTGTTCATTTTGGGTGAAACACATTTAATATTCATTGGGAATTTTGATTAAGACTCTCCATCCTCCTAAAAAAGACAAAACAATTTAAAGACCTACTCAACTACGCAAATTATTGTCCTTTTTTTTTCTTTCGGGGTTAATGATAAATGGAACAAATTATTATTGTTGTCCAGTAGCCAAGTAGTCCTAGAAGTATTGATTTTTATATTTGGGTCCACCCTTCACAGAACACAGTAGCACAGAACGGGAATGCCTGAATTCACCCAAAAAAAATAAAATAGGAAAGGACCCGCTAGATTTGGATCCCTCTGTTTCTGCGTAACAACAACGTAAACAACGTAGGATCAGTAGTCCACCACACACACACACACACATGTAAATGTGATCCATACTTCTGCTTCTGCTTCTGGTTTTGCTTCTGCTCTTCTTCGTTCTGACGAACCAAAGAGGCGGCGAACGGGAATCCACGCGCCACTGCACTCTCCAAACAATGGTACGCTCTCTCAATGCCTAACCTTTCTGTATGCTTTATTGAGAAAATTTGTCATTTCGGCTGAAAACGCTTTTTTTTTCTTTTGTTCGGATCGTGTCTAGGGATTCTGGTTGTTTTAATCTGAATTGAATTTGACAATTTCCCCCTTACCCTTTCTTCCTTAATTTAAGTGATCAACTTCGATGGATCAGCAAACCAGAAAGATTCGGTCTTTATTGATTTTCTGTGTTTTTATGATTTAATTCGTTCTAAAGTTAAAATCTTTAGGCTGCTTAATGAATGGGTTATTTACTGTGCAAAGCAGGTTGAGAGTAAATATCAATGCAGACAATGGCTCCTCTTGGCGTATCAGAGTTTGGGTGTAGCATTTGGTGATTTGATGATTTCACCACTTTATGTTTATAAAAGTACCTTTTCCGGGAGAATGATTGATTATCAAACTGAAGATGTTATTTTTGGGGCATTTTCCTTGGTTTTTTGGACTTTCACAATTCTTTCCTTGTTCAGGCATGTTGTATTCATGTTAAGTGCAGATGATAATGGCGAAGGTAAGAGCTGCTTGTTTGACTCAGCTTTTAATGGTAGCACGTGTTCATTTAGTTTGTGATGATATTTTTGGGATAATTTGTAGGAGGAATTTTTGCTTTATACGCACTCCTCTGTAGACATGCGAAATTTTCTTTGCTCCCTAATCATCAAGCAGCTGATGAGGAGCTTTCTATGTATCATGGCCCGGGCTACTCAAATAGAAATCAACACTCATCTATGCTGAAAAAGTTTGTTGAGAAACATAAAAAGTCCAAAACTGCTTTACTTCTACTAGTTTTGTTTGGTACATGCTTTGCAATTTGTGTTGGCATCCTCACACCGGCAATGTCAGGTAAATATGCCTCTCTTCTGTCTTAGGTTTTAGCACTCAGTTAGACTTTTCAGGTTTGATCTCAGGCATCTCCTCACAGTTACTTCATACTTATCCTCTCTCTGACTTTTCTAATGGTTTGTGCTAATATGCATTATTTTCCTTTTCTTGTTTCAGTTCATTCATCCATTGAAGGGTTGAAAATTCAATTGAATGATACACATCATGGTATGCAGCTTTCTGAGAATAAAAAGTGTATTTCTAACTGAAAATGGATATCTTAATGGGTATAGTTAACACTTGTGTAATCCAAGGAAATGATAATCTAGTAAGTAGCAAATGTAACACTTATTTCTATTGCCCAAGGTGGTAAAGAATGCTATGACACAGGAATAGGAACTAATCCATAAGTTTTCTTATTATCAATAATGAAAATATTCCTAGATGAAAATAGAGGAGAGAAGGTCCTGTGTAAATGTTATTGTTCTTCCACATTAAAATGTTCTCTCATTCTATGTCTACTAATTTCTGATTAAGTTACTGACAATGTCATCACTACAAACTCACAGGTCTGGTAGTTGTCATAGCCTGTATTGTCTTGGTTGGCCTTTTTGTTTTGCAGCACCATGGCACATATAGGGTGGCCTTCATGTTTTCCCCCATTGTTATTTTGTGGTCACTGTCCATTGCTGTTATTGGTGTCTACAACATCATTGAATGGAATCCCAGTGTTTACCGTGCCCTTTCTCCATATTATATTTACAAGTTCTTCAGAGACACTGGAAGAGATGGTTGGATATCTCTAGGGGGGGTGCTTTTATGCATCACTGGTATGTATGAAATTTGGAATGGTAGAAATTTAATATGCTAATATTTGTAATTTTCAACTAAATGTCTGTGTGTGTGTTTTTGTCAACTGAAGGGACCGAAGCTATGTTTGCAAACCTTGGCCGATTCAAAGCTACATCAATAAGGGTATGGAAACCAACATTTTCAATGAAAGGAAATTTTCATCTATCAGACCTAAATGTTTGACATGTTATATATTTAATGCTTCTCTTGTGGCATTAACAAGCACTTTTGAGGCAAAGATGTTGTCAACATGCAGATAACCTTTTTGAAAGAATGCATATACAGAAAGCAATATTCTTTTCACTTGCGTTCCTTTAGCTTCTCTTTCATCATGATCTGTAGTCAGCAATTCTTCTTCTTTGAAATATTGAAATTCATGCTTTAGTTTTAAATTACTTCACTGTACCTAAGACTTTTATTTCTATTTTTTTTCTAAGTTGTGTATTCTATAATTGGTTTATGCTACTTTAATATTATTGTTATAGATGTTACATTTTTTGCTTCATGCAGTTGGCATTTTGTTGTGTCATGTACCCATGTCTTGTGCTTCAATATATGGGACAGACTGCCTTTCTTTCAAAAAATTTTTCAGAAGCATCTAGAAGCTTTTATGCTTCCATTCCAGGTAAATCTTTGGAAACTATGCAATGAAAATTTCCCTTTGTTTCTCTAGTTTACAGTTTTTCCCTTTTAAAATAAGGTGTCCTGGCCTTCAAATTGTGTATGTCTAAAAGATCTGTGGTTGGATATGATGTAGGAACTTCTTATAACATTGAAAACACCCTAAATATCACCTTTACAGGGTTTAAGTTGATTATTTGTGACTTTATTTTGATAGCAATACTATCTGCTTGTTTATTGGTTGTAGGGGCATGAACTCTATCATGTTATTGTATATTATCCCTTGAGATATATTCTCTTTGTCATCCATTCTAATTTTCTTTTCCCAAGATATCACTCTGTTATTGGTATTGTCCTTACTGTTCTTTATAGAATGTTCTTGTCATTTTTGCAGATCCCTTCTTTTGGCCAGTTCTCTTGGTGGCAACTTTGGCTGCAATTGTTGCAAGTCAGTCTGTTATCTCTACCACATTCTCAGTTGTCAAAGAATGCTATGCCTTCGGATGTTTCCCTCGCGTCAAGATTGTACAGAAACCCAGATGGTTTCATGGTCAGATATTCATTCGAGAAATCAATTGGGTCCTTATGATTCTCAGTCTTGCTGTCACAGTTGGTTTTCAAGACATAAATCATATTGGAAATGCTTATGGTATGTAGTCTTCACTGAAATGGAAAATTCTCCAGTATTTTCGTGGAAGGTTTTTAGTTCATTCTATATGGTTTTTAGAATACCTTTGTGTCTGAATAGGAACTTTCAATAATTTGGGCATGAATTTCTGAAAAGCACGTGAAGAAGATATTTTGAGTTGATTGGCATATTGGGGCAATAATTATGTTGTATGCTAAATATTTCAATTCAATATGCTTGTTGCTGAGAGTATTTTGAATTTTGTTGCGTCTAAATGTCACTTATTCCATTTGTCCTATATATTATTATTTTCCTTTCCGTGCTGACCATTGCTTTTGCTATCTTAATTCAGGCTTAGCGTGCATGGCTGAGATATTTGTGACAACGTGTCTGATATCATTGGTCATCCATTTGGTGTGGCATCAGAATCTAATGCTTTCTCTTCTATTTCTCATATTCTTTGGATCAGTTGAGATTATCTTCTTATCATCCTCTTGTATGAAAATCCCTCATGGTGGATGGATTCCTGTCTTGCTGACTACGATCTTCATGGCTATCATGTTTGTATGGCATTATGGCTCCAGGAAGAAGTATTCATATGATCTGCATAATAAAGTGACCTTGAAGTGGATCCTCACATTGGGTCCTAGTCTTGGGATTATTAGGGTTCCAGGGATTGGTCTCATTTACACTGAGTTGGCTAGTGGAATCCCTAGCACATTTACCAATTTCTTGACAGACCTACCAGCGTTTTACCAGGTGGTTGTCTTTGTCTGTGTGAAGACTGTTCCTCTGCCTTATGTCCCTCTTGAAGAGCGGTACCTTATAGGTAGGATTGGTCCCAAATCCTTCCGGATTTACCGCTGCATTGTTCGAAATGGTTACAAAGATGTGCAGAAAAGTGAAGATGATTTTGAAAACGACATTGTCATGAGTATAGCAGAGTTCATCCAACTAGAGGCAGAAGGCTCCGGAAACATGGAGGGCTCCGTTGATGGCAGGCTGGCAGTTGTGAGGACATCCGACAAGTTTGGGAAAAGATTGGAAATATCAGAATCTGATCGCTATGGAGAAGGTAGCAGTTCACTGGACCCTGTGATGTTGAGTGGCAGCAAGTCAGCTACATTGCTCTACTTGCAGTCCACATATGAGCAAGAATCACCCAATGTTGGCCTAAGGAGGCGATTTATATTTAAGTTACCAGATGCAAAATACAGGGATCCAAATGTCAAGGAGGAGCTAATGGAGCTTGTGGAAGCTAAACATGCAGGGGTTGCATATGTGATAGGTCATTCTCATGTAAAGGCAAAATGGACTGCCCCATACCTGAAGAGATTTGTGATTGATGTGCTATACTCTTTCTTGCGTAAGAACTGCAGAGCTACTGCTGTGGTCTTGAACATTCCACATATTTGTCTGATTGAGGTGGGCATGAACTACTATTTGTAGTTGATTCAGATGCCTTCTTTTTTTTCTTTTTTTTTTATGTATATTGCTTTGGCACGAAGATCTTTTGTCCTTTTTTTACTCCTTAATTCTATTGACTCAAGTTTTGTTAGGATAGGAGATAATTTATTCAATTTCCAATAATGGTTTGTGGAATCTATCATATTATTATTATGAATTTTAAATGTTTCCCTTCCACATTTCTTCCCTTTAATTTTGCTTTTTTTTTTTCCACATGAAACACAATTGTTCCAAATCACAATAAAAGGGGTTAAAGTCTTGGTTTGTGGATTTTTATTTTCATTTTTTGGCCATCCTTGGTTGTCATCCTTCTTGAGTAGGTCAATCATATATATGGTGAAAATGCTATGATATTGTAATTTTACAATATGATTTATTATTATATAATTAATTTTTTATTTAAAATTTTTAGTAGTTTATAGATTTGTTTTAGATTTTCTCACCATTTACTATCAAATTATTTATTTACCTGAGTGAATTTTAGTTTTTTTAATAATTGAAATTAATAAAATAATTAATAATTTTCTAAAAAAATACTCGTAAAAAATATAATTTTTTTTAATTAAAACGAAAATCGATCTAAATAATTATTCCCAAAAAATAACTAAAACCAATAAAACTTACCTTTTCAGTTTGGTTATTAATTTTGAAAATTAATGACTAAAAATTTAATTAACCAATAATTTAATTTTAATTATAAATAAAACCAAACCATCTCTACCATTATTCCAAATTCAAATTCTTAATCATTGAAATCTCAAAATAAACATTCTTTTACATAATAAAAATAATGATATATCTTTTTTCTTTTTTGGAACTAAAAATGATATATCTTTTAAATACTTCTTAAGCTAGCAAAACAAATGTATTTTTCCATCAGACGGTGATATATAGAGTTAGACTGTTCCTGGTATAAACCGAGCGCGGTTAATATTTCATTTTAAATATTTAATATAATTTTTTATTATAAAAAATTATATTTTTACTTTTTAATTAATCAAAAATATAATAATTGATTAAAATAAAAATATAATATTATTAATTAAGGATGCAGCAAACATACTGTCATATGAACTCTCCTAACTATGGTTTATAGTTTGAGTAAAAGAAATTTTATTTTTTTAAATAAGAATTTGAGTTTAAATTTTGTAAATA